TATATATATATATATATATATATATATATATATATGTGTGTGTGTGTGTGTGTGTGTGTGTGTGTGTTTTCTCTCTCTCATTTTTTTAATTTATTTTTTGGTTTGGTGTAGAGGCTACCCACAGAAACAAAATATACAAATGATGGATGAAGCTGTGTCTTAACCCAAAACACTATAATTTGTTAGTTGCAGAATCAAGTCTTTCTTAACCAACATTAAATGGTTTAATTTGTCATGAGATCTTTAATATTTACTGTGTGATGTCTTGAACATGAAAGTGTGGCTTATCTCTGTTTTTTTTTTTTTTTAAAAAGCCTGTAGCCAAACAAGAGACCAATGGGAACATCGTAGTTATTAATTCAATTCAATATACTGTATTGATCCCCAAGGGAAAACTTCATAAAAAAAATAAAAAAATTAAAAAAGTTACACATAAACACTGAAAACACAAGTATTTTATGGTACCTTTTGTTTTTTTTGTGGAGGTTGAGTGAAGGTAACTTTAAGCTAATTATGCCAGAGCACAGTAAGCTGCTTGAGTCTACAGTCTTCTTCTTATTTCGGCTATTTTCAGACAGCGTCATCCTATTCTGTATCACTCATCTTCTGTGTCTGCATGGACGAACTTGCATATTTGTTTTGCAAATGTGTTTTATGCCCGATGCCCTTACTGATACTGCCTGCACCCGGGCTTGGGACCAGCGCAAGAGATACACTAGCTTGTGCTCCCAAGTGGCTGGTTTCTGCCTGAGTCTACAGTAATATGTGAAATTCAAATAGACCAATGATTTGTTAGCATTGTTACCTGAAAGTGGTGTCAGACTAATTTGAATTTTTAAACTCAAAAGTGTTCAATGTCACCCCAGACTTATGTCTAGGTTAGAAAATAAGTATGATTGGATACATTTTCATTCTATTGTTTTAACCAGGCAAATCCCCAGCCATTCCCACATGTTGTGGTGTCTCTGAGCAAGACACTTATTCTCTAATTGTTCCCCGGGCGCTAACTGCCCACTGCTCCACCTGAGTGTATCTCAGGTGTGATGGGTTAAATGCAGATAACTAATTTTGCCATTGTATGGGAGCATACAGTACAGTGACGACAATCTCAGACTTCCGTTCCCTTCAAATGCTTCAGACAAGGGATTCTGCTTTCAATACATGATTCTGACCACATGGATGCAGTGTGGCAACATTTTATTTGTCAGGCCAGCCAGTAAACTTGAAAGCAGTTTATATGTTTCCCATTCATTCAGTTGTGAATTAATTAATACAACTTACTTTTGTCCTGTACAGCTAGTCCAGCTTTTTTTTTTCTCTCCTCTGACAGAAGACTGAGGGGAGAAGCAGATGCATGACCAGGTTGTTGCCAAGAGCAAGTCTCTTTCACAAAATTAATCTGACACTTAGCTGTTGCTGTGATTGTTAGATAAATCAATATGAGTTCATTAGCCTGGAGTAGTACCGAAATGAAACATGTTTGGCTGAATGTAGGCTACTAATGGGTCGATGATGAGCCAAGTACCAGATATTTTCTCACCTAGCCTGCAGACAGAGACAGCAATACAATGGCCCTTAATGATATCAAACACCTCTGGGGTACAAGGTAATCACAGTGTGGGATAATCACAGTGTGTGATTACCCATACGTATGTGTGCCCAAGTATTTGATGAGGTTCCAACCACATTTTCTCATCTTTGTCTTTTTCTTTTAAAACCTCTCCCCCTCCTGCTCAGTTTCAATTCCCAACTTTCAGGATTTGGCACAGGTCACAGTGGCCTAGAGAACATACCAAGAGAGGACAAAGCCTGGGCTGAATCCAGAAGAAGTGATTTGTTCAGAGCTCGTACGCTATGCTGAACATAATGACTAAGAGCTAAATCTTTTGGGGTTAATATATACAAGAACTTTGCCTCCACAAGACTTTCTCCAAGAAGTCCTGCTTTATTTATTTATGTTTTAATCAATTTGGCACGTGAACATAGCAAAAAGAAAAAAAAAGTTTATAAAATGATAATTTAGGCTATTAGCAGTGGGGCACATCTCTACAAGACTATTGAGTAGGAACGAACTGTGGTAGGTTGTCATTTTCACTATTTGACAATTTCATAAAACACACAGAGTCAACAACTGCCAAACCGACTGAGACTAAATATGCAAACAAATGCAGAATCAAGCAATCATTCTGACTTCCTTGGTTTACCACATGGAAATCTGGACACTGTTAAAATAGAGGAATACTGCATATGTTATACAGATCAAATAAAATGCAGCATAAATGATTGAATACAAAATAGGAGCCATCTCAAGAGCACTTTACTAAAGACATAATGCATGAGGAAGTTTAAAAAAAAAAAAAGCTTTACTCGATTCAATTAAGACCAGTCACGTGTGAGTGCATTAAAACAATACAAACAAGAAGTGTGAAAGTGTACATACAGTAACACCTTTTACTGCAGAGACTACACTTTTAATGCACAATAGCCAAAAGTAATTTCAGATATTGGACCTTAAGCTATCCAACCGCAGTGCAGCCATTCAATAAACCAGTGAGGCCTTAGTACAACCAACCTGGGACTTCTTCAGAAGTGACAAAGCATTTGAGACCAACATAGAGGTGTGTAATTTCAACCTAATCATGCAGCCAGAAACAGCCCTATTCCACTGAGTTATAGCACTGCAGAGATAACCATATTTCCAGCTCAGTACAGGTGTTGTGCCTCAGGTGAAGTCCAAGACAATAACGTTAAAGGTTCACTAATGTAAACTTATTTGACCAACATCTATCTATTCTCAGCTAAAATGACAGAAGCCTATAGTTAAAAAGAGTTAAAACAGCATGACAACTGTTGAGTTTGCTCAATTTAAATCAGCACCACCCCCATTATTTATTTATTTATTTATTTATTTTTATTAAAGGCACATTCTCAGAAAGAAGCCAAACGTAAAGGCTTTACAAAAATATTGGATGGATCCATTCTAGCTACTTGTTTTCCACGATTTATTTCTTTTACAACCAAACTAAAAGCTAACAACAACCATCTTACATCCATATATATAATTATATAGCACGGTGGCACAACTGGTAGAGCTGCTGCCTCTCAGCAAGCAGTTCCCTGGTTCAAATCCCGGTCCGGGGGCCTCTCTGGGTGGAGTTTGCATGTTCTCCCCGTGCATGCGTGGGTTTTCTCTGAATACTCCAGTTTCCTCCCACAGCCCAAAAACATGCATGTTAGGCTGATTGTTAACTCTAAATTGTCCCTAGGTGTGAGTGAGAGAGTGAATGATTGTTTGTCTCTATGTGGCCCTGTGATGGACT